CATATTAGAAGCATCTTTTTAATCCGTACATTTCACGTTTATGAAAAGGAAAATAACTAGGTGGATTTCCAGTTTTCATTTAGAATGCTATACATTTGAGCACTAGGTACAGATGTGGAAATAAAGTTTGCAATATCCTTAGATTCAGTAAAAAAAATCTTATGTATATGATAGGGTGAAAAAGTTTTTTTCTTCAATATAAGCTAACAAAAAACGTCGTTTTAATCATAAAAATACAAAGTAAAGATAGCTGCCTTTGATTGTCTGAATTAAATCCTTTGATCCTCTAATTATCAAGTTACCCTCAAGCCAATGTAATTATGACATGTGTATATTTAAAGGAGTGTAGCGACAACGTGTCACCCTGGATGTTCAATTTATAGTAAAGATAACATTAAAACAAGAAATGGCAAATACAAAAATTAATTTAAGATTTTCAAGCGGGATGGGGGGGGGGGGGGGGGGGGAGGGGGGGGTGTTGCGAACCCCCCCCCCCCCAAAAAAAAAAAAAAAAAAAAAAAACCCTAAATCCGCTAGTGTTATAGTATAAATCGCACCAATAAATGGAACTTAATTGTGTCATATTTACCTCCAACCGATTTACCTACATGGCCCGAGAACACAATTATTTCGTAGTGCATTTCTTTTAGACAATAAATTCAAATTAAAAAATCGCACCTGCTCTATCTCAAAAAGATTTTTACAGTGTAGTGTACTACTAGTGGGACAAATAATATCAACATTATAGAAACTTCTACCAGCTCTAACTCAAAATATTGACAATTCTGTGTTAAGTGAGTCTTAAGTTCAGTTTGACAGCTTCAGACGTAATAAAATTTGACCTTTTTTTAACTGGACCAAATCACTACTTAACATAAAGATTCAGCACCTAAATTTTTTTAACATGTAATTTCATTCCCCTACTTAATATTTCATGCATTAAATATCAAGAAATAAATTAGGAAAGTGTATTAAATAAAAAATGCAAGTTATACACAGTGGCGGATCCAGAAATTTTCATAAGTGGGGGCCTACTGACTGCCTAAGAGGGTCATGCTTCAGTTATTCCCTATATAATCAACCAGATTTTTCTCAGAGGGCCGGCCCCCCTGGGCCCTCCCCCTAAATCCGCCTCTGATACACTGTTCACACTAGGGACTATATTCGTAGACAATGAAAACCAAAGGACGATAACTGTGTCCCTGTACCACATGTAACATTAGAATACTCACTTGAAAGGATGACTGATTTTTTTTTTTTTAAAGTTAAGAGTCTGATATAGAGCCTGAAAGCTGTCGTGGTTGTGAAGATTATAAATTCCGCCAGGCTTTTATAGGGAAAAAAGGAGAAATTATAAATGGAAATATAATGCACGCTGTTTAATCATGCTTTTCAAGACTATTTACTGATGACTCGTACACAATCATTTTGAATGGTGAATAAGATCATATAGTTTTAGATGAATTAAGCACTCAGAAACTAGCTCGTAAAAAGGAGGAGGAAATCCAGTTTTTCAGTAAATATCAAAGTAAAATGTATAAGTCTATAACATTTGCGCAATTGTATACTTGTTTTATTGACGCAAATGAATGCTGCAGTTTTCAAAATATAGTGACGCAAAAGAAGAATTGGCGTAATTAAGTTGTGGCGAAAATTAATTCTTTTTCTGTGCAAATGGATATCGGCCTTTAAAACACCGTTTGTACACTAACAAACGTGTATTTATCTTTTACGCTGTCTAGCATGGAATTAAAAGTTTTGGCAATTTGTGTAGGATTTTAATTTTAGAAAGTAACGAACAAGTAAGAAGATCGTCAAAAACCTGAAGTGTATCGGAAAATGAGCTATGCACGATAAAAGAAAATAGTCTGGTGCGTCGATATGAAATTTTACAGAGGCATGTATTATTTGTAAAATTGAATTAGTCTATTAATAACAACCATTTGTAGAACTGATTCTTTTGATCCTTCAAATATGTGTAAAATATTCTTTGATAGTTTCTTTCATATATACAATTGCAGTATGCTTATAAATACTGTAGATTTGTATTTGATCATTGATTGCATGCATAATGTCCAGTGACAAATATTTCATGAGTTCGTACAAAGAACAAATCAAAAACTTTTAAAATACATTTGATTGGTTATTAAAGGTGATTCGATCTTGATGATATGCATGAAAGTTTGTGAAGCTTACCTCTGAAATAAAGAAATCTAAAAAAAAAAGGAAGAGTTATTTTTTCTTCTTCTGTATTTTACTCATACATGAACTTAAGCACTTTTTACAGTCAAAATAACAGTTTTAACACCGACAGCAGCAATTGCAAGCGACGCTGGTTCCATATAAGTTTTCACGAATTTTTATAAATCCCTGACCATCTTCGGTTTATATCAAACTCTGATATTGAGGGGAACATATACTACCATGGATGTCTTGTCTTTTTTTAATACATTTAGATATAAAACGTGTATCTCATATAAAGCCTCATTTATAGAACATTATATATAATATTGTGTCAAGGAAATATTTGGACCAAAGAAATATTTGGAGGAGGAGGAAGAGGAGAGAGAAGAGAGAGACTAATATTTTTCGCGGTATTTGGTCTCGTGTTACTCATGTCAAAATGTGATGGAAGGAAATGTTTCCCCTTCGTTTTATATAGCAGGGTATTCCATAGTGTAATTATATTAGTTACAGGTTTTTTTTCTATCGGTAAGAAATGGTATACAGTTCGAAATCTAATTATCTACATTAAGTTATAGTACATTTAAAGTAAGTTTATTGCATTGCTAAACGCTTCTCAATCAAGATAAATCGTTTACAACCAATACTATTTTTTGCGACTGAATAAATTTTATTTAGAATAGATAGTTCACGTTCCATTGAACTATGGGTATTGTTTAGGTTTTTTTTTTAATTTTATAATGATCGAATTTGAAATGTTATTAACACAATGATTCAAAATTACAAAAAGACATAAAAAATTACGCAATTAGTATAAAACAAAAATTATGATAATTAAGATAACTTATTTGCTTTAATTATTTAATTAACAAGTGAAATGTTTTCAATCCAATCTTTCCAATCTAATATAGTCCAAAGGGTGACAGGTGTATAGAAATATGGTCACCACAGTTCTTCTTCCGGCTGGCAGTAAAGAACAACCACGGCAAAGAGGTGCATTCATTTGGTTGTTCGGGATATATAAGTACGCAACCAACTATAAATCAATCCAATCTAATAATTGTTTTTTTTATCCCGCATTTTTTTTTATAATAAATTAAAAAATAAAATAATTGAAATAATTTTCTGAAATAAAAACCTAATATATATATCATACGCTTTACAAAACGATATGCCACACGATAGATGAAACGTTAAACGATATCATATACCATATACGATAAACGAACGCTAAACGCTAAACGCTAAACCATACCATGTACCATACGACAAATCAAACGCTAAACGCTAAACCATACCATGTACCATACGACAAATCAAACGCTTTACGATACCATGATGCAAACGATATACTCAACCCTAAACGATGACATTTACCATACGACACACGAACGATGAACGAACGCTGACCGAACGTTGTACGTACGCTATACGAATGATGTACGAACGATGACCGAACTCTAGACGAACGATTCCCGCACGCTGTACGTACGATTCCCGAACGAAAAAAGTGTTAACTTTTACGTTACAGGGACTGTACACATTCAACATACAATGGATTAAGTGTAAAGACGTCATAAAGAGTCAAAGGAAAACATAACCTTATTGTAATGCCAAAATACAGGTATCAGCAGATTGTACAATATGTATAAAACACATATATAGTTTGATTTTTATTTACTGTTAACAAAATCGATATTATTACCCCCAAAAAAAATCTAAAGATCGAATAACAGTTTTGTACATGTATAAGAAACCTTTAAGAATAAGTTTATTCAAAAGGATCGGTAGGTTAACCCGTTAAAATAAGGATGTGCTATCCCGTTTAAAATACATTTTCTTTTACATATTCTCTTTTCTATACCGGCACAACCAAATTTCCAAGAAGAAATTAGATTCATAATAAATGACTTTTTGGCGTTGTTTATCGACCCTCCCCTTTGTAGTCTCGAGCAGCAAAAAATTTTTTAGTTGGCTTACAAAGTGCATATGACATAACATGCAATTATAATCAGTACAGAACTCTAAAATAATGGTATCATATATTACAGTTACATATGTACAAACCAAATCATATAAATATACATTATTCAATATGATATCAAGTCAACGAATATTTGTAGTTACCAAACCAGACTAAAAAGAACAAAATTGTATGAAATGTAACGTTCCTTTTATTTAATATTGATCTTAGTTTCAGCTCGACGGACATTGCACATTTTATTTATAAACTTTCAACTATTGTAAAGAAACATTGCCAGTTTTCTGATTAAAACAGAAAGGTGAACAGTTTGCATTGTAATTAAATGTTTAACCATGCATGTACTAACATATGGTACCCGTTAACATACACATGTTGTATGTTGTACTGTTACACCACTGTCCCAGGTTAGGGGAGGGTTGGGATCCCGTTAACATGTTTAACCCCGCCACATTCTGTGTGTGTATGCCTGTCCCAAGTCAGGAGCCTGTCATTCAGTGGTTGTCGTTTGTTTATGTGTTACATATTTGTTTTTCGTTCATTTTTTGTACATAAATAAGGCCGTTAGTTTTCTCGTTTAAATTGTTTTACATTGTCATTTCGGGGCCTTTTATAGCTGACGATGCGGTATGGGCTTTGCTCATTGTTGAAGGCTGTACGGTGACCTATAGTTGTAAATGTCTGTGTCATTTGGTCTTTTGTGGAGAGTTGTCTCATTGGCAATCATACCACATCTTCTTTTGTATATACAGAATGATAATAGTATTATATATTATATACTAGGCAGTATTATCCAAATTCATATGTGATGTGATAATGTATTTTTCTTTTTCAGAAATAAACCGAACACTATCCATTCTTTACAAGCACTTGAATTATACGGCGGTCTATTTTCCAATGCAAATGCAATAGTATTCTGATGACTATTATTATGATGGTCAAAACGGTTATTATCAAGACACGTACGATTCGGATTGGTAACAATAAGAAAAGGTGGTATACATTGCAGCAAACCACTGTTAAATTTCGAATTAAAAATGGCAGTCTAATGCTAAGAGGATTGTAAAAGAAGTTTTAAATTATGAAAACGGGTTGTTAACTTAAGATACCACAAAATCCAGAAAGCCAAAACAAATGCAGAGAACACACATTGGTTACAAAGACAGTACAAAGACATTAGTTTTGCTTTTCTTTTAGTTATTTACTGATTGTTTATCATTGTCTTCTCTTTTTCTATTTCTCTAAAATAAAGTTACTGAACATATTACTATTAACATGATGAAGAAAAGGTACATAATAATAAAGTATGTATATTTCAGAATTTAGATTGCTAATAATTACTTACCAGTTTTATTAATTATAGGTGTAATACACATGTACCACCAAATCATAATACTTCACATCCGGTTGCATACGAAAAAGGGTTGAAAAATATTCCCTTGAAATTAATCCTACATTCATTACAGTAAAAACAAATTGGAGTCATGAACATATACCTTGGATGTTTCCACCATTATTTTTTTAAGTGTTTCTATAGAATATTTTGCGACTTGAGGTTACATTGTTAATAAATTAAAGCTTGAACACAGTAAAAAGGAGTGAAAATTTGGTAAAATTCCAGTGATGGTTATTTTCTTATATGCAATAAAATGTTATGTAAAATTATGTCTGAAGTACTGCACAGGATAAAACTTTACTCATGCCGAGTATTTCATTATTTGAAACAAAGATAAATTCTGATTTTATTTTTTAAAGTGCAATTTTAGCAAAAACTAATAGGGGGAAATCAATGATGTTATACACCTATATACAACCCCCTCCCCCAACTTTTGGTGGGGTTCGTGTTTCTCAGTCTTTAGTTTTCTAATTTGTGTTTTGTGTACTATTGTTTGTCTGTCTGTCTTTTTTCCTTTTTAGTCATAGCGTTGTCAGTTTAATTTCGATTGATGAGTATGAATGTCCTTCTAGTATCTTTCGCGCCTCTTCTTCGTATGTTTAAGAGGCTGGGATCAGGTACCAGTACTTTGTGTATTTTCCATAAAGTAAGATGACACTCCTTATTTAGTTTTTCCCTGGCGAATTTCTTTACAGAACTTACCTAAAGTAGTAATTGTGTCATTTGTTCTCGTACTGAAATTGTATGTAATATTTTACACTGGAAGTTAAGCAAACAGCAATCAATGAATCAGTGTCGAGTTGCTTTTTGCTTTGCAAAGAGCAATATAAAGATTCATTTTAGCTAAAATGAACACTTAGCAAAAAGTAAAATAAAAAAAATACTGAACTTCGAGGAAAATTCAAAACGGAAAGTCCCTAATCAAATGGCAAATTCAAAAGCTCAAACACATCAAACGAATGGATAAAAACTGTCATTCCTGAATTTCTACAGGCATTTTCTTATGTAGAAAATGGTGGATTGATCCTGGTTTTGAAGCGCTAAACCTCTCATTTGTATGACATATTTACAACGATGTGTGAACAAAACAAACACAATAGATAAAAATGTCACAAATAGGGATACAACAGCAACACGAACCCACCAAAAACTGGGAGACGATCTCAGGTGCTCCAGAAGGGTAAGCAGATCCTGCTCCACATGTGGCACCTGACGTGTTGCTCATGTTAATACAAAGCCGCCGGTAAATAGTCTAATTCGGTAGGTCACATTAGTGAGAAGGGAAAGAGATTGTAGTTACGACATAAGGAACATATCCGATATCATCTGTGAAACGGATTTTCCATAACGGTCAACCAACTCGTTATGGCGTCCGTAAAATTTACAAAGTGAAGATTTCAACTTCACCATTTGGAACTCTTGGTTAAAAATGGAAAGGTCACAATTGGGAAGCTGAATTCATCTCTTTTGTCGTAAAGTTTTGTAATCAACTGACCCTCATTGTCAATTCCCAGATGTAAGTCAAGATATGAGGCAGACGTAACTGTATCTGTTGTATCCTTTATCTCTTCAAAACGGAAGTCCTTAATTAAATCAAAAGCTCAAACACATCAAACGAATACAACTGTCATATTCCTGACTTGGTACAAGCATTTTCTAATGTAGAAAATGGTGGATTTAACCTAGTTTCATATGGTCATTTTTATAATTTAACTGTTTGCAAAAGTATGAATTATTCGAAATACTAAGGATTTTTTCATCCTAGGCATAGATAACCTAAGCCGTATTTGGCACAACTTTTGGGAATTTTGGGTCATGAATGCTCTTCAACTTTGCACTTGTTTAGCTTTCTAACTATTTTGATCTGAGCGTCACTGATGAGTCTTATGTAGACGAAACGCGCGTCTGGCGTATTAAATTATAAGCCTTGTACCTTTGATAACTATTTATAGCGCTAAACCTCTCACTTGTACGACAGTCGCATCAAATTCCATTATATTGACAACGATGCGTGACCAAAACAAACAGACATAATGAGTAAAAAGGTCCAAATTAGAGGTACAGAAGTCAACATTATGTTATAATCTTAATCACAATAAAAACAAGCAAATATTTAAAAAGAAGCACATATCATTTTTTACAACCTCATTCATTATTCTTTAGAAAATTTGTCGATAACCGAAACATAAAAGTCAGCACTTATGCAATCCTGTGCTAGAAGAATTATCATTGATATCCTTATTTTCCGTAAATTTACTTTTTTTCAACAGTTAATTGCGCATTAGCTGTCAAATTCATCTTCTCCGATTTTGCTCCAATTTCTTTTTTTATTAATAAAAATTTTGTATAAAGTTATTAAGTCAAATAGGTGACTTATAGGTCCAATGTGTAGGGTGTAACATTGACTATAAAAACTCTGTAAGTTTGTTATATTTATTGATACATGTTCACAAGTCACTATAATAAACTAATTACTTACTCACTTATTGAAACGTATATCTAATTTACAAACAGTCTGGAATAAACACTTAAAAATGCATAGACTCTATAATAAGCATCAACATTGTGTATGTATTTTTGTCTAGACTTCATCTAATTAACATTCGAGCCTTCGAGACTACATCCGAAAACTACCGACGGACATATAACCCGATATAAACATGAATATAAACAAGTAGCTTCCACGTGCAATTGAATTTGTATAGGTCTGTTAGATTTCATATTGTAGGTTAAAAAGTATGTTAATCATCGTTTTTACCTGTGTAAGATTATTTTTTTGTGTGAATCGAATGAGTGAACCATAAGATCCATCTTAGTTACTCTTTAAATTTTGACATTCTTTACCTTTTAATAACTGAATAAATACGTTAACCATTTCCAGCTAAGACAGTTAATTGAAGGTCGTATGAAAACAAATACTTTGGGGTCGAAATGTCTACTTGCAGGCCAATAATTTATCAACGATGTTTCTTATCTGATTTTTACAAAATTAACCCTAATTTGCTGCTAAATGCGAATAAGTATTTCATTATAGAAATTTAATTTATTTTTATCAGGAAAATTACATTTACATTATGTAAATACAACAAACATACATTCATTTGTCTCATGTGATGTGGCCCGATTCTCTTTTTCCAAGCAGTCATCAAAACCACCTGGCAAGGAAAATTAACTTATGACATTGATCGATTAGATAAACAAAGATGAATTATATTAAGTGAGTATTTGGCTGTGGAAGTCGTAAGAGCTATGTGACTATACTTTGAGTCTAAACAGATGAACACAGCAAAAAAGGTCACATCACTTTAAAAAAGTAAAATAACAAAAATACCTAAAACTCCAAGGGAAATTCTAAACCGAAATTCCTTTATATAATCGGGAAATCAAATGCTCAAACACGTCTAACGAATGTAAAACAATTGGCTGGGTACATCATTATTTTATGTAGATATGGATTTAACCTAGTTTTATAGCTAGCTAAACATCTTACGTGTACAACAACATGAACAAAGTCGTCTTCACGTAGGCGGTTACTGACAGTCTGTGCCAATAGACTTCAAAGACCGGGAATATACGGGAACAATCGCAGTCCTGTTTGTCAGTTGGATGACTTTGATGTACATGTGCTGTGCTACTATGGCTATTCTAGAGCGATCATAATGTTGACGGTCAGCTGTTGACGGGACTTTCTGTGTCATTGCCAACCAAAGATAACAATGCACGTTAGAAATATGGTATTGCATTCTCGGAATCGCTGGCACGAGGACGCTTACAACGATATTCTGGGTTCCAGCATACAAACTCAACATGTCGTACAGCCACAAGGACCAATTAAGAGATCGGATTCAATCGAGCTATTAGCTGTCTTCTATACCAATTATACGCATTTTAAAATATTGAACGATTAATTCGCACACCTGTTCTTGTTTTTCCGCCCGTTCATCTTCTTCGAGCAGCTAGCAATTTTTGAGAATGTATTTTATTATACTTCACATTAGCAAAGAATATCTCCACACCGTACAACCTACTTGGATCATATGTTCACATCAAGACTTATACATTGTGTTGCTGTATTTTTAAAAAGCGTATAACATGTATAAAGAACTCAGTATGCATTTCATCTTTACAAATCTCCTAATTTAAAATTTCAAGAATTGACAAAATTATGTTTTACACTTTTAGTTTGAATGAATAAGAATAGTGATACAACGTTACAATTTTAGTGTTATTGATCTCAAGATAACATGATGGTTTTTAAAAGCTATTCTGTGTAATTTGATTCTATAATCAAAATAAGTAGCCTAACGAATTGAATCCTCATTGTTTTCAGCAACCAGTTATGATATAAGTTGACAAGTTTTCAATACATTTGCATGTTAGTGTGTGTACAGACCAAATTATTGTAATTTCCTTTCTGTTTTGTTTTATATCAAATTCAAACGGAGACTAACAATATGACATGATTGTACAGTCTTATTGGAACACAGTCAATAATTAGGGATTATAAAAGGAAAATATATAAAACGAAAGAAAACATAGGATACTTTGCAAGACCAAAATACTCAATTGAAATGACATGTGCCAATGCTAATACAACTTCATAGACATATCACGGACTTATCATAAGTGGTTCCCTTCAATCTGACCTATCACAATTTAAAAAAAAAACGGTTGACGCCCGCACTGGACGAATTTTTTGAGACAAGATAAAACTCAAAAGACATCCAGAGGTAAACGTACATTCCAAAAAAAGATTAAGTATTTTACATTATTTAGTGAAAGCTCTGCATCTAACTCAAGATGAGTTGAGAAGAGTTTTCAAAAAGACTATCAAAACTCTGCCATAAATACCAAATTCCAAAAGTTACCAAAACGTATTCTATAATCTTTCTTGAAATATAAATTAACTTTGTTGAGTTAGTTCGACAATGTTATTTTAACTGAACTAATTAACATTTCATTCAAAACATAATTCAACTCTTGTGATGATCTATGATATATGACAATAACATTGTGTCGTGGTGTATATTTCTGTGACTTTATTTCATGATTTTTCATAATGCCTAAGTCAATTAAACCCCTAAGCTAGATGGATAACGCATGAATTGTGCGTGTTCAGTTGTTTAAAGGAGAAGAATGTCAACATTGGAAGTGAAACAAAGGTAAATCATTTGATTGACCGATTCGATCCACAAAAAAATCCTACTTCTACAGGTAAAAAAGATGATTAACATATATTTTAATCTATAATATGAAACCAAACAGACCTAGAAAAATCCAATTGCACGAGTTCGCTTTCTATTTATATGTATATCAATGTTCATATCGTTTAAATGACCATCGGAGGTCAACTCCATATTTAATTAGATTGCGTCAAGACACAAGAAACGAAGCTTCAAATTATCAATCCCACGCCCTGTAAATTGTTTATTTTAGACTTTTTTATGAATTGGATAAATGTTTTACATGGTTATAAATCAAATATAAGAATTTGAGTCAAATCGGTGAACATGAATTTGACAGCTAGTGCCCCTTTAAAACCGTAATTACTGTACATGCTTAATCGTCTTCGTGTGTACTTGTACATGAGACACTTATGTGCGTAATCAGCTTCTGTTTGCTCTGCCTGGTGATTAGCCATGCGAGAAACCTACTACCTGCAGGATGGAGTTTTACTGTTTTGGTTTTCCCTCCAAATCGATCCACAAAAAAATCCTTCTTCTACAGGTAAAAAAGATGATTAACATATATTTTAATCTATAATATGAAACCAAACAGACCTAGAAAAATCCAATTGCACGAGTTCGCTTTCTATTTATATGTATATTAATGTTCATATCGTTTATATGACTATCGGAGGTCAACTCCATATTTAATTAGATTGCGTCAAGACACAAGAAACGAAGCTTCAAATTATCAATCCCACGCCCTGTAAATTGTTTATTTTAGACTTTTTATGAATTGGATAAATGTTTTACATGGTTATAAATCAAATATAAGAATTTGAGTCAAATCGGTGAACATGAATTTGACAGCTAGTGCCCTTTAAAACCGTAATTACTGTACATGCTTAATCGTCTTCGTGTGTACTTGTACATGAGGCCACTTATGTGTGGTTTCCGTAATCAGCTTCTGTTTGCTCTGCCTGGTGATTAGCCATGTGAGAAACCTACTACCTGCAGGTTGGAGTTTTACTGTTTTGGTTTTCTCTCCAATACACGATTGATTACCATGACTGAAAAGCTCCATTTTCCCCGCTTTTCTTTCTGTTTCTGCTCCCAAAGCCTTTAATCTTCCCAGATCTTACCAAAGGCAGTTGTACTATTTATCCATATAGTTAGAACAAGGTTGGTGAGTGCCAGTGGGCCTACACAATGGATCTCTAGGACTCTTGTTGCTCCGAGATCCTCTACAATAATGCCTAGAATGCTAAATCATAGTTACCATGTACTGTCGCGAGGAGTCATCGCAGAAGTCTCGAATTGTGTAGAGGCTTTGTCCTGGCAGAAAGACACTCTTTTCGTGTCACCTACAAATTAATTAAACAGTATAGCCAGTGGTGATAAAGTGCTTATGACTCCAAACCACACTAGACGCATACACAATCCTGTTGTACAAACGACCAGCACACAAACAATAGGTAATAATAATCCGCACTTAATTGTAGACTCGGATGATTTTTAAGGTTATTTCCAGTGAACTACGTACTAGTCCTAACATTATCCAACATGATCAACTCTGATGCTTGCAATTAATTGGCAGGAATTTGATATTGATAATTGAAAATATGGCGGTTCGTACTATTCCGTATCAGATCATTCTCATTCGTACTAACCCTTAATTATACCGTAGCAAACCGATGTTTATCAGCAGTACATACGTGTCGTTGCATATTAAATCGTGTCATTTTCGTATTAAACCGCGTCGTATTGAAAGAATCCTTATCTCTTATGTCGACCACGACCACTTTCTCACACTACCCTTGGTAGATACGTCAAAACCAGTTGTCAAGCAAGCCGTTGTACATCCGTTTCGGATCAGTATCAGACTACGGAAACAGCATTTCCGGGATCATCCTCGAGATTTAATTCGTATAAATATACGTAGTAGCGCCGGCGAGGTAATTCGTGAATGTTTTACCTAGGCATTAATATTTTATGTTGTTACAATTTTTCTCTTATCAATATGTCGTTGTCTGCTTGAAATCAATTAGTAGAATAGAACTTTAAGAGTCAATTTCATTTTGATATGACGATTTAAGCTTAGTACGTGTACTGGTGAAAAGTCCATATTAAGACTTAAGATCAGTTGTTAAAATTATATTAATTACTATTTTTTATTAGAATACATGTAATTCAACATTTGTTATAAAAAGGACCATTAGAAAGTGTAGGCAGGATATCCGAACGTTAGAATACTGACCTTGTATTGCTACATTTAAATCCTTTCCAGCGGACTGTGTCGCTCGTATCGTTTTGTGTAATTTCTTATGTATCTTTGTTTTATGTAATTCTATTAATCATTTAGTTTTGAGTCAACAATAGAAAATTACAACTGAGTATTGCTAATTTATTCACATCCTGTGTTGTAAAATTACACGCAGTCTGACAATTAATTATCAAGGTCGGTGAACGTACGTAGTGATATCTAATCGTATCAAATATTCATAATTTAAAGTTCGCGGTTAGTAAACATAAAGATAAAAATAACTTCATGCATATGATAAACTTACACTTCCGAAAAATCAATCTAATTTTACTTTCTATTTGTTATCAATACAATATTCGGCCATTTTAGAACGCCATTTAAAAGGAATGTACTACATCTCCTTATTCTAATAAGACACATGGATGATCTGACGTTTGTTGATAGGCTAAAAAGAGCAGTTAATACGGATGATGCCGACGAACTCCTCCGTTTATGCTGTGATAGTTCAAAAAGGAAGGAGATTTTGAATTTTAAAGACGATGCTGGACATTGTTTATTACATCGGGTTGCTGGTTCTGGTACCGTTGACCTTATGCGAACTTTGATGGACATGGGTGCTGAAGATAATGAAGACGATTGCATTGAATTCGAAAAAACATGTTTACAAACTGCCTGTTCCCATGGAAACACAGAGGTCGTGAAATATTTTTTACAAACTGACGAGGGCTTAGAGGATGAGGCGTCAAAAATTGAATACAACGACTGTTATGAACTATTTTATTTTGCTGCAAAATCTGGGAACATTGAAACAATAAAAAATTTACAGAAAAAAAGCCAATTAGATATTAATCAAGTTTTCTCAAATGGAAGTACTGCATTATTGATGCTTGTGAAAGATAATGACTCAAAAGGCGTTGAAATTTTATGTAAATGTGGAGCTGATGTTAATATTGGAACGATCGGTAAAACTAAAAATCGAACTGGACTAAAAGCTATCCATACAGCTTCAAGAGGTTTCAAAAATTGTGCAGAAATGATCCAAATACTCTTAAAGTATGGTGCGAATGTAAATGAACCGCTTATAAGAAATAACCTTAACCAGCAACCCCTTTTTATGGCTTTATCAATGGGAAATGAAGGTAATGCTAGAGTGCTATTAGAGCATGGCGCTGATATATCATACAAGGGGGAAACTTTGGAAGGAACAATTGGTTGTTTTTGTCTAGCGATAAAGAAATGTCCATCGCTTGTTCTAGACTTTATCAAACGTGGTGCAAACCTGTACGAGACACACCAAAAAAGTTCAGTTCTGATGATTGCTTTAGACAGTAACGCAGGAAGTGAGTCTATTGAGGCTTTAGTTGAAGCTGGTGCAAATTTAAATTTTGGAAGAGACGGCAAAAATGTGATACAGTGTTGCACACATTATGGTATGTTATTTTACTGATTTACCATTTGTTTACCGGGGAAACATGACAGTCTTTTTAAAAACGAATTTTGCGAGGTAAATTTGCAGATTTGTTTAAAGCAAAAGTCGCGAAATATGTTGAACGAAATATCCTGATTATGTACTGGTTAGGTAAAATTGTTCTATTTCTCTGTAAGTACGTGCGTACTGATGCATCGTTCTTTTTTGAGTATATAAGGGCAAGACCGTTGATGCAGATATTTGTATTGCTGACCAAAAAGGCACCAAGCATACAATTCGAGGCTGCATTATTATTTATATGTTAGATAAGCAAAGTTAAAATTAATGTTTATATTTTTTTTTTTTTTTTTAATTAGAAAAGATTGGCACTTATGTAATTGACAGATTGATTTTCACGTTACATGACCATCAAAACATGGTGAAAATTAACTTATCATAGATACCAGGATTGAAATTTTATATTTTCGCCAGACGCGCGTTTCGTCCACAAAAGACTCATCAGTGACGCTCTAATAAAAAAAATTAAAAAGGCCAAATAAAGTACGAAGTTGAAAAAATTTGTCATTGAAAAATATAAAGGCAAGGAGATTTTATTTTAATTCGAAGATATAAATCCTTATCATCATGAAGTTTGTCAAAAACACAAAGATCAAATGTAAGTATGTCTTTATGTTCAGAAATTAAAAGGTGTCTTATATTCATAAGACATAACGAATTAAAAACAGAATATATAATTGGTGGATCAAATATTTCAGAAAAACAATAAGACAGGTTGTTTCCGGCCTGTTTTTTGTTACCTATGTTTTGTATCTGACTTGTACGACGTTTCAAGAAAAAAGTAGTACATTTCGCATTTAGAAGAGGTAGCAAAACTAAACATATTAGAAACTTGAATGGTTATATACCAGTTAATGTAAGTTACAGTTTAAACACATTTTTTTCACTTCTCTTTAGTCATTTTGTCAGCCGAGAGATTTTTAAAAAAAAATCAAGAATTTAATAACTTTATAAAAAGAACCCTTTCAAGTAAAAGGTGAATGTTGTACACATTTGAGACTTTTTAAAATGCAACTTCGCAAGAAAGTAATAAATAAAAAAGATGTCAGAGGTAAGCAAGCTACCGTTTGATTTTAATTGGGGAAAATGGGAAAGGGGGGATAATTTTTTTTTTAATTAAACAGGCTTGATCCTTTTTTTTTGTTGAACAAATGCAGGATGTGCCATTTCATCCCCCCATTTCTCCTTAAAAAATATCGTAAAAATCGTACGTTTGCGGCCAAATAAATGAATTCAATATACATGTATATGAATTCGATAACAATATAAATGTATCAAAAGAATTAATTTACTATCTCATTAGTGAATGAAATGGCATGGAAAAATGTATTTTGTCTTGTTATTAGATGTATATAGGCATATATATTGGATTTTTTTTTAAATATGTCTCTGAAAATGTTGATCAGGATTAAACATGTATCACTATATGATCCAATCGCAGCTTACCGTCCAAAATTGATGACATAAGTTGAATGATTTTCTTCAAGATTTGCTGCATATTTGAACATGTACTATGCTACACAGACACTTATTATTCATAAGATCAAACGTGCATTGGTGAGTTGATAGGGATTTTACCTTTTGATTAGATTTTATTTTTTTTATATATATTTCCTGTCTTATTTTATTGAAACAAGAACACACCCGCGATATCGCGGGTTCGTGACTGAATTAAAGTATATAACTATGTGTAAGCCCTATTTTAGCCTGGATTTTAAGTATTGGTATTGTCATCTGATAAAGTCATGCTGATTATAAGATGCACAGTTTTCTCTGCTTTCAAAATCTTTCTGTTTGAACCCGTCGACCTGGAACTTATCAATTATTGGTAATATTAATTATTTGGAAAACAAAAGGGTCTGGAATGGAGTAATTTTTAATCAACAGCATTGTCCTATATTAGTTATAAATAAAGTTGAATTCTTTGATTCGCCGTTTTAACGTCATGCCGGCTAACAAATTGGAAACTGTACCTATACGCCTTATTTTAAGTCTAGATTTTTAGTATTCGTATTGTCATCTTATAAAGTCATGCTGATTAAAATACTACAATAGGAAACAATGTGACAATGATTGAATTTAGTAGTGTGATTATGTGATTATAACCCGTGTATATAGCAAATCCTAAATACACCGTTTGGTGGTGCGCCTGTCAGATGCGGAACGTACAGATAAGGTAATATGTAACAGGTGAATATACTATTGGTATCGGTATCGGATTCGACCCGGTATGTACCGTTAAAACTAGCAGGAACAGAAATAGACTGTAAATAGTAGACATCGTTTTTTTATATAGAATAGACCGTTGGTTTTCCTGTTTGAATGGTTGGTTTTACAATAGTAAATTTTTGGGGCTGTTCGGTTTGAGTCAAGGGACCGTAGTTAAGATCCTATTTTGACCTATAATGGTTTACTTTAACAAATTGTGACTTGGATGGAGAGTTGTCTCATTGACTCATACCACATCTTCCTAAATCTATGATCCACAAGAAAAGATTTGCAAGTTAAAATTGTCGAAATTATCAGTCAACCCCTTATACGAGTTATAGCCCTTGAAAGACGAGTTTTACCTATTTACCATCTTGGCAGAAACTGAAGTCGATAGATACTGCAAATAGAAAAAACAATCAGCAAAATAAAATGAACAAATAACCAACATGACCGAAACGTCCGTCAACTTCAAATTGTCTATTTGACGATTTTTACTCAATTTTGTGTGATTTTTAATGAGCCAATAGGACATAAAAAGAAACTATGAAAAAGGAAATATTATCAGTATCTTAACAAATACTAGGAATTATAATAACATATTCTGTTAGCTCTTTACATGAGTTACTGGCTTGATGATTCTGATAATTATTTGTGTTTTATGTGAAACTATATGTGATAGAGTTTAGCTGTAAATATCAAATAGGATCAGCACAACAAGATGCACAAATAAGCCACCGTGGTTGTAAGAGTTACTGCCATTAGATAAATATATATGGTCAGAACAATAAATGAACTAAAACTTGAAACAGCTAATATTATCATCAAGACAATATTTTTGACCTCACAATTTCTATTTTAACACTATAGTTATTGTTGCATTTTATCAATTTAATGCAAAATTCTAAAGTGAGCGATACAAAATCACCGGATACTCTAGCTTCTGTACCCATTCAGATAATTCATATATAGAACCATGAGATTAGTTTTATGATATTTCTATAAATTTTGCGGTTGATTTCAAGAAAGCCTTTCTGAACTTTCATTAGTATAACAATGCATACATACTCTTTTCAAAATTCAGTTCCCATCCATACACACCGACAAACAAACTAACAAACTATTACTAGATCTAGAAATGTGTTATAAAACTTTACAATGGAAAGGACGAAAGGGGATTTAAATATGATGATGCTTAGATATATTCATGATGTGAAACTCATTCACTTTATGTAAAAAAATAAAAGCAATTTTTACAATTTGAACTATTATTATAATGACATAATTTTATCTGTTTTAGACCAGCTGAAATCATTTCTTAATGCTGGAATATCTGTGCAGGATATCGAGTGCAATTACAAAGTACCTACATTAGGATTGGCTTTGCATACTTTGCTAAGTAATAATATCTATACTTTTGGACGATCGGGTCTGGAAATTGAAAGTCAGGAATTAGAATTGATTAAAAATGATGTAGCGGATTTAATTTCAAACGGTGCCAATCCAGATTTATCAACCCAGGAACTGGAAATACCGTTGATTACAGCAACCAAAAATCGTCTGCAAGGTGTTTTCGAAATGTTAATAGCTGTAGGTGCCAACATACATCAACTTGGAAAAGATGGCAATTCAGCTGTTCATGTGTGCTGCATAGGTTAGTTTTATTTGTTAATTGTGATATACTTGCAACAACAAAAAATATTTAAAAAATAAAACGTGTTTCCTGCTATATGATAGCAAACTGTAAACAGTTCATTATCCTTTTAAAGATAAAACAGTTAAATTTTTGCATCTTAAAATTGATAATGTAAAGATAAGAAAACTGTAAAATCGAGGCGAGTTTAATATTATAGTATGTTATTCACGATGCTCCCCTACCCATCGATGCATTTTTTCACTGCTCATTACATTCTGATGGGGGAGGGGGGTGCATCGTGAATAACATACTATAATATTAAACTCAACTCGATTTTACAGTTTTCTTGAGTTCTACAGACGTCTTTTTGTCGTAGCTAAGCTTTATTTGTTGATTTCTATTTGTGGTTCCAAATAGGACCCACGTTACTAAGGAAGTGCTTTAGGCATCACACTGGTGTCAGAAGTAATGATTATTGTGAATTTATTCGTCGGAAAAGTTTGGAAATTCATCGGAAAGTTGACAGTTTGGAAAACCACGTGAGTTGACGATTGGGCAATCCAGAAGCGGATCCCCGTCAAACATAATTATTCCGGTGAGATCTTGTGATTTTTTTACTTACTTACTTATAATTACTGAAAATTCATTAAATTTTACAAAAAATTACTGACGAAATTTTGCATTTGAAAAAATAATAATTCCGGTTGCTCCGACCTCGTCACCAAATTTCCGAACATACATGTTGATCTACAGATAATTATAATCTTTGTGAATAGCAATTAAATTGCAGACATGAATGACAATCGGAAAATTGAATTTAATAAAGTCATTGAGACGGGTTATGATAGAAAAGTCAGCTAAGATTCCCAACCAAATGGTGATCAGTTAGGCATAAAAATGCTTAACGTGTTAGAAAGGATTGGTAACGACATGGTTACCTTGGCTGAAACCATGACTGATATGTTAAGGAAACAGGATGAGATGTCTGTCAATACAATGCAACTACTCCACCATCAAAGTAGAACTTTAGAAGATTTAAACAATACCTTTTTGCAGAACCGGGAGACATTAAAATCGGATCTTAAGAGCAAGTACTTCTGGTTACACAGATGACGAATTTTCGGGATCTTCTATTTGTCCAAAGTATGGATTATTTGATGTCGAACATCTAGACCCTAGTTTATGTGACGACAAACCAGTTGACAGTTTCCAGATTGGTCAAGGGAACAGTCCTAGACCATCTTCATTCAATCAAGATAGTAAGTCGAGATCAGATTTACAGCTCGGTCGTGGGAACAGTCCCCGACCACATCCTTTCAATCAAGATAGTCTGAATCTGAATGAGTACGTTGCAGGGTCAGTATATGGCATCAATGGCAACGGGAGAGAGGCGCTGGAAAATTAGTCCAACGTTGTGAGAGCAACAGAAGTCTTAAAGCTCTCGATTGTCTTGGCACACACGAGATTGTCTGGTAGTCTATTCCAATCGGATATTGTTCTTACAAAGAAGACTTTTTATATTGATCGGATTTGCTAGGTGGAATTTTGAAGCACCGACTGTTGTTTTGAGCAAATTTATCTACAATGTTTGTTGTTTTACAGTCACTAATTTTTTTTTGATTTTATTTGTCGTTGTCGTTTTGGTCTCTCCCTAACTTATACTGAGTCTTGTGGTATAGCTGGTACCAACTTCCCGGCCACCTTGTAGAGAAAAGTGAGTCTACTGTGACGAGGTCTATTTTCCAATGTCAGAAGTTTTAGTTCATTCATAATTCTCATTATACTTCCTTCCTCTCTGCTTGTATAATCCCCACTGATGAAGCACACTCTTGTGTCTGGACTCGTTCAAGTGCATTAATGTCTTTGATTAAGTAAGGGTCCCATACTATCGACGCATATTTTTGAAGTGACCGGATAAGTCCTATATACGCCTGTTTCCTGCAATCCTTTAGACAGTGACGGAGGTTTCGTCGCAAGAAGCCTAGAGTGGAGTTGGCCGTCATCACGGTTTTAGCAATGTGGACGCCCCATCTCAGATCATCTGAGATAATAACACCGAGATACGGATTTTGTTGTAACAGTTGCAGGATGTGATTGTCCAGTTTGTAAAAATGAGATGATTTGTTGTTGACGCTCATCACGTAACATTTTTCGGCATTAAATCTCATACCCCATGCATTTTGGTGGCCCATTCTTCCAACGATACAAGGTCGTTTTGTAGTAGTTGGTGGTCCTGTTGTGTTTGGACTTTCCTATATAGTAGGCAATCGTCGGCGAATACTTTGACTTGGGATTTAACAGTTGCAGGTAAGTCATTTATGTGACAAAGGAACAGCAGCGGTCCTAATACCATGCCTTGAGGTACTCCTGATGCTAAACCTACAGGGTTCGAATTTTCGCCATCTACCAGGACTCTCATAGATCGTTTTGTAAGGAACATGTTGAGCCAATCTAGTATTGGATAATCAATACCATAACTTTCGAGTTTGGATAACAGCCTTTTGTGCGGGACCGTATCGAGGGCTTTAGAGAAATCAAGTATTACAATATCTGTCTGCAGGCCTTAAGCTTTGTCATGAAGTTGGAATAAATCGTTCATAGTTGTTAAAAGCTTGGTTTCACAGGAGAAACTTGAACAGAAGCCATGCTGGAGTGGTGAGAGTATATTGCTCTTTCGAGGTGTTTCAGGATGTTTTTACATAAATTATATGATATGCACAAGCAGCTTGCAGGTAACGCAGTCAAGAAAAACAGGTCCATAGTTCTCTGGTGTGTTTACATTTCCTTTCTAAAATACTTGAGTGATGTTTGCATTTAACCAATTAGAAGGTAGGGTGCCAGAGTTTGTGGATTGCTGGAAGATGTGTCTCAGCCCAGGTGCTAGTTGTTTAGAGCAGTTTTTCAGAACAATGTTTGGTAAGTTGTCTGGCCCAATGGCTTTAAATGACTTTATGTTCTTCAAAAGTGTCTCAACTCCCTTTGTTGTTATTGTCAGTAGTGGTTTTGATTTGTCAACTTTCTTATCAATGTTTGGTGTCGCATTTACCGTGTCTTTTGTTAAAACCGATTCAAATTGGTTTAATAGTATATTTGCTTTCTCCTTCTTGTCGTTTGCAAGTGCTCAATTCTGTTTCATTGCTGGTATACCAATGTTTTCATGTCGTATGGATTTAACATAACGCTAGAATTGTTTTATGTTGTTTTCTTTTAAATCTTGGTAATTAGTGTTGTTTATATAGTTGATCTCTGCTTTCTTAAATTCTTTTTTGTACTTTTTTGGGAAGCTTTTTTAATCGTTCCACTGTTTAGATTTCTTAGCATTCTTATAGAGTCATATTTTGCGTTTTAACATCCGGCTTTGATTTCTGTTGAGCCACGGCGGTGAATTTCTAGATGAGCATAGCTATGACGGGGTGTATTTGTCGATAATTGTGAATACGGCGGTGGTGAAGGTTGATCATAGTTCCTCAACTGGAGTGGTGGTTTGGGATTCCATAACTGTTGACAGTTGTTCCATTTCTTTGTATAACAGAACCAAACTTGCTATATTGACTTCAGCTTTACTTTACATCATTTTATGATCTATTTCAACCAATAAAAAACAGATAAAGCGTTAGTCCAAATACTATTTTATTAATTTTAAGCTCAAATTGGACTGGTAGTAAAAGATCGGTTATTCAAAGAAAACTGCATATGGATAATACTACTGGCCAATATACTTTTTTTATTCTCAATATCATTGTTCTATTTATTAATTTCTATTAGGAAAGCAATGTGCTTACCAATAGTCATATTTTTACCAGAGGTTGTTCATTTAATAAAAATATATTAGTCCTAACCTAAGACATAATTGAGAATTCTGTCCCCCCTTTTTTATTCAAATTGGAAAAGGGACATCTTTGGTATAAACCATTAACCTGTGGTACAACATAAATTATTAAGAGCAATTTATATATCCTTCAGCTGGATAACTTGCTAAACTGGTTTAAAATTGCATGTACAGTGAGATTTTGGAATTCTTACATGAGTATATACCAATTGCCTAGATTGTAAAAGGCTACCATAAGAAAACCAATAAAACTTGAAACATCATTGGATTATTTGACCAAGAGCTATTTTTTTACCATTAACAAGTCATAATATACATGTTTTATTGATTTCTATCCCAAATAATGCAAAAATAAGAACTTAGAGTCAAGTCTTAACTGCATGCATGTTGTATGACCATAAAAGGCTAAAATACCTTATCATGTCAATTTAAGAGCTGAAATGTCACCTTTTATTTTAAGTTCAAATAAAGTGTCAATCATTGCATGTAAAAGCAACACTTTCTGGTGTCTTGTACTGAAAAAATCAACACACCTTTAATGGCATATAAGAAAGAACTGGTTCCCGGAACTTCAGATGTACCAAAACAGGTACTTCAGATCTGACAAACAGGCAAAATGTACCCTCTTTTTAAAATTTGGTGCAGTTTTTTAAATATTCAAATTTATAAGTCAAAAAGTGTTCTACAATGATCACCAGTCATTCAGCTTTCATTTGATACCAAAAATAGCTAAATATTCTACATATTTTGAAAGTTACACTCATGCGTAGGAACTATTTTGTGTTAAATATGTACTACTTTCTGGTATGTGCTTTATGGCCAGGCCCGAATTAGTGGTGTTACACCTGTAGATAGTAAGCCGTCATCAGAATTACAGCTCAGTCTTGGGAACAGTTCCAGACCATCTTTATTCAGTTTATATGATAAAACAACAGAATATTCGCAGTTCGGACGAGGGCACAATCCCGTGCGATCGTCACAGAATTTAGATGATGACAGACAGACCGGGAGTTTGCAGTCCCAGGCCAACTGGCAATTTGTACACACCATTGTCATCAACTCAAAGATATACAACAACACATCTCCCTTTTAGACCGTTATTACGTACTATACAAAGATGTTAGTCTAGATCAACTCCTATGAGCACAAACATTACGAAGATTCACCAAGAAACATGCAATCTTCGTTT